CTATCTTTAAAAGAGCAATTAAATGTACTTTTATTTTATTTTATTTTATTGATTTCTTTTTGCTGTCTCCAATCTGCATTATTTAAAACCCACAGAAGCACTTTCAAGTATCAGTGTTGGCACTACAGTTGTTAAGATAGTTGTAACCTATCTTTTGTAGTTATTATGGGATTTATAGAACATCTAGAAAAGTACATTATCTCTGTTTCTATGCAGGAAGATATGTAGGTTAAACTATAACGATATTTATTTGAAAACTAAATCTAATTTACCAGAACAAAGTACAAGCTTTTCAACACCTTTTATTTCTTTCTGAGGTGCTTTTTTTCACCACTTAGTTCAACAGACATGCAATACAAAATGTGCAGGGGAAGAAGTAGAGACCATATTCTTTTTAAAGTCACACTTGTTACAAAGTTGAATTTTTTGATTAAAATTTTCACTGCCATTTTTGCATTTGAATTTTGAAAATTAATTTATGTCTATTTTGTAAAAAAAAAAATCCCCAAATCACTATTCTTTGTATCATATGCTATATTTTTCCTCTCTATTAAGAGAAAAATCAAACATGGAAAATTATGGATAATTTTTTTTATCTTAAAGAAAATGTTTTGACACTTATTTTCTTCTTTTTTTTCCACTGTTTAAGATGTCAATTATCAGTCTCTTTTCCAGTGCATTGTGGTGTACATACAATGAAAATTTTTGCGATTAAAAAAGAAAATGTAATATTTCTAATAAAATACAAATAAATATTTTAAGGATGAGGTAGTTAAAGATCTAGCAAGTTTAATTCAAAGTCTAAAAGAATAGTATAGCAGTTGTACCTGAAATTATGACTTGACCAAATAGAATGTCCTATTCCTTTACATCTTTCATTTTTCCAGTGTTCCAGGATTTCTCAGGGTTTTGGTAAATGCTAGCATAGTTCTAAATTATAAACATTTTGATTTAAGATATTCAGTGGTGTGGCTCTTAGAATGTTCCTTTGCAGGGCCAAGATGTGGTGTTCAATGGTCTTCCTGGGTTCCTTGTAATTCAGAAGATTCTATGATTGTATGAATACCCTCAGTCTTCCTTTGTTGCAAAAAAGAAGAAATAGAAATATTCACCGGTCAGATGTGAACATGTACTTCAGGATGAAATTGATGAAAAATTGTATTATTTCTTTCTGGTATTGTCTGTAAAGTGGTAGCTCAAATGTAAATATCTAAAGAATGAGCCTATATATGATCAGAAGACCAAATACTATATCTGAATAAAATTTTAATTTTCAAGAACTTTTGGTAGAAGATATCTCTTAATGGATCAGAAAAGAAAAGTTTAAATATCAACTCAGCCCAAATCACCCAAAAGCACAAATCAAACCACTTCTTAATTTTAAAACTACATTTGAGGACTTTAGGTAGTGTTAACTAGAAATTTTACTGATCTTCATCTCTTTTCAAATATTCACTGATTCAAAACTTGCATTTTAGATTGATCTTAATAGCTCTCTATTCCCTGCTAATCATGTGGAATTCTCCACTGATTAATGAGAGCTTAGATACCTAGGATTTTTCTGTAGACACATTATTATGCAAAATGGATCCTAGCTGTGAGCCTTTACTTAGCAAATGCCCTCATGAAGGCATGAGTTCCATAAGTTCCTTATGTACCACCAGTGTAATATTAAAAAACAAAAACAACAAAAAAATTTAAAAAAGGAAAAAAATTATTGGGGAGAAAAAAAGAAAAAAAGCTTGGAAAAATTTATCATAGCTGAAAGAGGGAATTCAAAGAATCTTTTGCATTAGTTCTGCCGGTGCACACTTACCAGCTTTATCCAGTCTCGATTTTAAGGATAGATTAAGTTCTACTTGTTAGTTGCATCTTTTTCAGGTCTTCCATGATTGTTCTTCATCTAAGGTTTTTGTTCTTTTTTACCTTGGAGTTTAGAAAAGAAATGCCTATCTACTTTACTGAAAATTCTAAAACTATATATATATCTAGGTTTAGCTATTCTTTTTTCTCTTCAGCATTTGATGTCAGCTTTACCCATGGTCAGTGAGCAGAATTTTTGAGTTGATGGCAATCTTATTCATCTTAAACCTACACATCACTATTAAATAAAAACAAACAAACAAACAAACAATAATAATAAAGAAAAAAAAAAATAAATCTGAGCCGGACTACACAATTAATAAATTAATGTGAGTGGAATTCTTACACACCTAATTAATTCTATTTTTGCATGCTTGTAGGAGTTTCTAAGTTTGCATGTAGGAGTTTCTAAGTTCTTATGTATTCTCAGAACCAATATTGATTTTTCTGGCATAATTTTCTAAATAATAGTTGTTTTATTTTTATTTAACACTCAGAAAGTTTTTCTGTCATTTTCTTGCTTACATTCCACATCTATTTGCCTTTTCAGATACATGCTTCCAGTTTTGATGTTTGGGTGTCGAAGTCCCCTCTTAACTGACTCATTCCTTTTAAACTGATAGGCTATCACCTCTTGGATGTTATCTGTTGGTAATTTGGTGAGATGTCTAAAGAAATGGTTTATGCATGAAAGCATGCAATGTTGGGAAAGAGTCTAATTTCTTAAATAAGAGGGAGACATAATCCATTAACAGGAAAATCTTACTGAGCTGGGAGACTAACTGAAAATTTCTGTTAGGAAATGTGATATGTCCTTTGCAGCAGAGAGTACAGGGTACAATTAATATACAAAATCTTTACTCATGCCTAAAAAAATATTTCAGTGCAACACCAGTCTCTCTATCTTTAATTTTCTTCTCAGCAATTCCCTTTCATTGAGAAATAGATTATATATTTTCTCTGTCACCTCATGGTTTTGACCTACATACATTTTTAAGGCAAGCTCTTAAAATTTGGAGGAGGACATCTACTAAAGTTGCTATTGGAATAATTCCCAGGAAAACTCATGACTAGCAATTCTGGGAGCTATAAAAGTGGCAAATTTTACTTCTGTAGAATGCCTTGTACCTGATATTCTGTTAAGCAGTTTTACTTTGAACAAATCCCTACATTTTCTCCAAAAAATCTAACAGCAGCTAAAAATGAAATGCTCTTTTTACAGTTTGCATCACTTAATAAAATTGTCCTGGAGATTCTTAATTTTTGCATATCTTACCAAAGTCTAAGCCTCTCTTACATAGTGTTTGTGCTAAGAGAAATTTGCCAAACTCTGGTTTTCATGCACTCATTCATTTATAAATACATACATCTGTTTGTTTTCAATTTATCTTCAGTTAATACCCAAGGACAACACAAGAGGTAAGTTTATAATGTGAGATAGGGAGCTTTGCTCTCCTCTTGTAAATTTTGTCTGGCATTCATACTTAGGCTTATTGAAAGAAAACCAAATAAAGTCCCTATTCATGGAGCTGAATATTCAGAATATTTGTCTGTCAGTATTTCTGATTCTAGTTTGCAAAGTAATCATGGAACTATCTTTACCACTTGACATTTGAAAATATACCTACTTCATCTGAAATGCTAATATGCTTGAGTTTACTACTGCAAATGCAGTTTCAATATAAGAAGCAATGGGGAGACACAAAGTGTAGAAAATACTGTAGGTAACCTCAACTCCGATATGCTGAGATCCATAATCCAATCTCATTTCCACCACAGTTAAATACAATCTGGCAATACATGTCCAAAACATCTTTCTTGTTAGTTTGTTGTGGGGTTTGGCTGTTTTTTTTTTTTTTTAAATTTATTTTTGGAAACACTTCTTTCACCTTGAGATTTATGGACTTACTAGTGATGGTTATGTTTGTGATTAAAAATTTTATATAAATATACACAATACTTTGAGGAATGTCAAAAATGCATTTTCTCTTGAAAAAAAAATATTATAAATATTCGGTGTATTTTAGATTCATTTTAACTCATCTCCTTTTTATTTAACATTATTATTTTTTTCAACATGATAAGAGCTAGGCATATCTTTTAAGTAATTTGATTATTTTGTGCTTGAAACAGTACTATTCCTTCCTAGTACTTTTAAACTCCTTCTTGAACTTAGCATAGAGAGGTTATATCCTTGCTTTATTAATATTTAAGGCAGACTGAATGGAAAGAAATGCTTATGAAGTCCAGACATCTTTGTCACTGATATAATAGTACAGAGAGACAATTTTCTTCATAAGAGCAGGAAAATAGTTCTGTCTGTTCCATGTTGGATCATTTATCTCTGTTACACTGATGAATTCATTTTAGTGATAATGCTTTGCCTGAATAATGAAAAGCTGGTTTAAGATAGCCTGATGGTCAAGATGGAATACTTAAATTTTCTCCAATTACAGGAAAGCTTATTTTTAAGATTCACTGTTCAGGTAATTAATCTCATTTTTCTTTCTGTTTCTTTTTCTCTATACATTTTGTCTCTTTCACCATGATCCTAGAGAATCCATTATCATAACGTTTATAGATATGGGTTTACTATTTTGTTAAATTAGCTCTCTTCACCCTCATCTACTACTATTTTTACCTATGTTATCAGAAATTCTTGAAAAACTGGTATTTTGCTATAGCTTTGGTATACATTATTTTGTAAGTGCTACCAACTTTATCAGTACACTACAGATTTGATGATTTCTTTTTCTTGAATTTAACACCAGCAGAAGTGCTAAACATTTGATTTAATGGGGTGATAAATAGATTTATATAGTCAATGAGTGTTTAATTCTAGAAGACACAATTGCGTTACCTAATTTGATTTGCTGATTAACATAAACTGTAGAATTTTATACTTTTAGGCCTGTATTAGACACATGATTTATGTATGACTGGAGTATTTCCAAAGAAGGATAGCTATTCATAAATTAAAGGTGTCAAGAGATTTGCCATAATTTGAGTAAATTCTAAATTAGCAACTCAATTAAAAGCTTGCTTCTAAGTTAATTTTTCTGAATTTTAATTTGTTATGTTCTTTCTCCCATGGACTCCAGATCCTTCCTCAGATTCGTCCCATTGTTAAGGTATTGAGTGCTATGTTATTTTTCCATATACCAAATTATTTGAATCGCAAAATTGAAGACATATAATAAAGTAGATCAGATAAAGACATTTTGATAAAAATTCACAAATTATCACACTTCTTTATTTCTAATAATATTTTGCTTGTGGGAAATTATTTTCATAGTTAAAAAAAAAGCTTGTTTTTTCAGATTTTGAATCCATTGTGTGTTTGCTGGTACAAATAGTTTACTTTGTAAGCCTTGAAGCAATTTACTGTGTAGATTTACATAGTCTTAGCCTGTTCAGTAATGACAGTACAAGACTATCTTTCCTGGTGTGGTAGTTCTTCTCCCTAGGACTAAATTTTTCATAAATTTAATTAAAATCATTATCAATCTATAGAAAAATCACCAATTTTTCAGTTGTAAATTGAAGTATTTCTCCAAAATAAATTTAAACTTCTTCTGAATGTGTTTTAACAAACACATAGGTATAATAGACTTGTGCTTACTTCAACCTGTTGATTTTTTCTTGTCTCTGCATTTAAAAAAATGTATGTAGTTCATATATAATGTGAGCTATTAATAAAATGACATCCTGAAAAAAAGATGGACAGAAAAATCTTCTATTAAAATCTGGATTTAGGAAACCACAGCTAAGCGATGGCTCTCGCTCTAGGCTGCTGCAGAGTACTCATGGGGTCAACAGGGTGATTCAGATCCTCAGGGAAGCTTGTGCTCTGGCATACATGACCCTAACAGTAATTTTGTGTTGAAAAGTTTTGTTTTGGTATAGCTGGTGTCTTCTCTCACTGTGGACACTTATTGAGAAAGGAATTTGAACATATGCTCGGCAACCTGCTGAGCAGCCTTTAAGCTAATTGACTGAGTCGTGACAGCTTGTGCTTGATGGGCTTTTTAGGGTATACCAACCTTAAGGAAACTGATCATCAGAGGCATTTTAAGTAACATATCAACAAAAATCCATGTTTTCCCTGTTTAGGAAGATAAATGTGTTCTGGATATTTGTTGAATATCGTTGCAGAAAGATGAAATTTTCTCTTGTGGAATCGTTGCATAAATTATTTTGAACAGTAATTTGTTCTTAAGCAGTTAATAAAAGATTAAGACAGTCACCCAGAAAGCTGTCATTAAAGTATCAGTGTTATTACAGACGTTCAAAATTCTCTTCCAGCTTCATCTTTCAGTCTCATCTCTGGATACAATACACTTATAGCCTGAGATTTTAAAAGCTAGTATTTCTCTTTCCTTTAGTCTAATTTACTTATATGAACCAGTTCTCCAGAAATTGTTTTTTAACATAGATTGTTTAAAGCCTATTTAACTGGATAATATAAAGTAATCTCTACCCTTCTTCTAGTGTGTAAAATAGCCCTAAAACTGAAACTCATTAAGGCCTCATATCTTCAGCTTCCTGCTGCTGTGTGTTATAACCACTGGCTTCACCTATCTCATCCTTGGATGCCATTCCGTAACTGTCTTTCAAAACATCAGTGTCAGCCCCCAGACAGGGTTGGAGCCATTCCTGTAAGCCATGTGTTTGTAACATCACACTATGAATTTTCTTGCAATCACAATCTCTAGTACAAGCTTATGTCTTTTTGGCACTACTAAGATCACTAAAACACATCACTAGTACATGTTGAACTCTTAGCTTTCATGTGAAAAATTTTAATAAATATTACTAATTTCTATCATATATTTTCTTTAAATGGAATTTGGCTTATTCTCATGAAACAAAACAAAACAAAACAAAACAATACAAACCCCTACAACTAACAGCATTAAAGGAAATAGTGGTTTTATCTTGCACAGGCATACCCTATACATTTTTTATTTGCATAATTTGAATTAGTGTTATTCATGGAAAAACTGTTATTACTATCATTTAGAAATTGGTTTCAGCAACATTTGGACTGAAAATACTTTTAGACTGTCATCTTAGAGCTGCAACAAGTATATTCTCAAAACATTAAGAGCATAATAGAAGACTGAATAGAGCTTCCTTTGCAGTGATAAATTGCTTTCTTCTTTTTCTTACAGAAAATTTCTGGTGGTTTAAGCATTTTAGGGAAAGTAAGATAGATGATAATATAATGGTGGTTATATACTTTAAGCTTTTTAAAATAGTTTAAAATTTTGCTCACATATTAAAATACATACAAACCCAGTGATGTATAAAACAAATCTTGAGAAAGTATCCAGAGTGTAACTCAGGCAAGGGCAAACCAGAGGTACATTGGATGATTTACCTTGTGAACAAGTGAATAACTTGTTCAGCTGCAAATCAATGTATATTGATTTTGATAAGGTTTGAGTTTGGCATAGTTCCTACATAGCACTGTGCCCTGATTCCTGAATTGGTCATGTCTTCATGCTCATTTGTACAAAGTCTACTGTACTGTTTGCCACAAGCTTAATTTTCCTATTCACATAGCCTACTGCAAATAATTTTCTCATCCTCTTCCTCAGAGAGATTGATTTGAGGATAGGATAGTATGCGTTTAAGCCTAAAAATGCTTCTGTCTTCACCAGAAAGATATGGAGTATGTTTTTTTCTTGTTGTTGTGTTGTTTTTTTTCTTTTTTCCTTTTTTTTTTTCTGGGTGTTTTCTTTTATTTCTTTCCAGCTGAACCATCATTCATCACCTCTAACATCACTGACAGGCATTTTGCTTGTCAGTCTCAGCAAATTAAATACACTGTCTCTGTCTGACAATGTGCATTTACAAAAGGTCAGTATGGAAAATTATATCAGTTCCTTAGATGTCACTTCTAGGATTGTTATAATAAAAACATTTCTCAATTTATTGATATCTTATGCTCAAAAATCATATTTTAAAGTAATTTTATTATATGCCTCATCAAGATGCTGCTTTATTTCTTACTGCATAATTTTGACAGAATTGCTTGGAAAATCAATGCCTCAGAGCTGTGTTTGGACTTACTGCTGAATCCAATTACAGTGTATTATCATAAAATGCATCAAAGTGAAATTTATTGATGGTGCTTGTTTAGTGAACGTTCAACTGTTAACTCCAAAGATAAATATTTTAATGGCGTGATTTCTCACCATAACAAAAGAGCAAAGAGAAATAAACTCTGTGTTCTGGCACAACAAAGACTTTAGAAGCACAGCATTATACATAGGTCTACTCTTACCTGACTTCAATTACAGAAAGAAGTGCTGGACTTTAAAATGTTTTCTTTCTTTTTCTTGTTTCTGTAATTGATGTTACCTAAATAATAGACATCAAGTATATGCTATTATTTATACCATTCTAAAATTACTAGGTCATATTTACGGGTTCAAGAGCACTTGAAACCATGTAATTTGCCTGTTCAACATCCCAGATGAGACTGATGTGTTTCTGCCTCAGTCAGCTATCAATCTGATTGCTATTCCAAATTAAAAACTGGCATAAAAGGATCAGTCATTTTTTACGTTAAGAAATTTGGCTAGTGCATGTTTTTAATCTACTTCTGAGGTGCCTCCGTGCTCTGTGCTAAGCTACCTTTGATTCTGTGCAGTCCATATATAAGAATACTTATTCAGTTTAAAGCTTCCAGTTTAAAGGTCCAAATTTGCATAAAACTAGTAATTTTCCAAAGTTAATACATTTTTCAATGTTTTTTGAATGATTAATACTAGCAAAGTTTACCTATTTGTTAGTTACCAAGAATTCCTGAATTCTAACATATCTTACCCACTGTCTGCCTATGGCTATTAAGGTAAAAAACTAAATCTTCCCTTATGTGCAACAGCTTTAACTTGCTACATGTTGTTTTCCTAGGGGAATGTATTGATTAAGGGAAAAAATCCAAATACTGAAAATCAGGAATGAACTAGCACTTCTAAATTAAAATAATATGTAATTGCTGATGGTACACTCTTACTTCTTTAGCAAAATCATCATTCAGAGAATTTGAGCATGTGACTGAAATGGAAGTGTCTTGAAAAACTTCTCAATGTCTCAAAAACATTTAATTGGCTTCTAAATGTCTCAAACACAACTCTTCAATATACTTTCTACTTTCTGTAGGAGTTTAAATCCCCATCCATAACAAATAAACAGAAGTTTTCTTTCAGTCATCTGCTGAGATTTAGCAAATTAAAGCAATTCCCACCAATCAATATTTATTCCTTAAAACTGTACTGCAAAACAATTGCACATCACAAAAACTATTACTTCCTTTGCAGTGTCACACCAAAATAACCAGGCAATGCACATACAACAGATCAAAAAACCTTTATCCTTTCCTTAGTTCCCCAAAACATAATCATAAATCTCAGTCTTGATATCAGCAAATACTAACTCTTAGTGGTACTTAGCGGTAGATCAGACTTGATAATTCAAACAAATTCTATTAAAAAGTACAATAGTGAAAGAGGTCCAAAGTTAAACATGTGTGGCCGCTCAAATTTTGAATAAGGGATGCTGAAAACACCACCTTTGCCAAAGGCTCTGCTTTTATTTTCACACCAATGAAAACAGAAAAAGCTGCTTTAATTTTAAAGAACTAAGGTCCATGACCCTTCTCTCTCTTTCTCTCTCCAAAGTTCATCTTTTTATAGATGGTTCTAGTGATTAGAAAAATATGGTACAGTTGCAAGCTGTGATAAGTACTACTAAAGTACAAGCCATGTGGCACGAAAGAAAATGTGCAGCAGGTTTCATGGGCAGAATTTTATATGAATTAATCATTAAAGGAGAAATGAGATATCATATAGGAAAGACTGGATAAAAATTAAAAACGTGCTATTAAATGTTATAAAATGTAGGAAGATGCATTTAGGGAATAATAATGAAAATTTAACTGACAGTTTGGAGTGTTGCGTTCTTAGGTAGTTCTTGGACAGTTTCAATACTCAGTAAAATAAATAAGTCTTTGGGGCATAATATTTAACCTAACTAATGTTCAAAGAAGATTTCAACAAGGTAGGAGTTATTTCTACAGACCTTGTCACTTCAAAGGTCAGCACGTCTCTGAAAACCCACAAAACTATTCTACTGGAAATTTTGTGAAGATGACATATTTCTATATTAAGGAACATCATCATTTTGTAAAAGCTTAGAAAGACCTTAGCATAGTAACCAACGAGTAAGTTAGAATTATGGTAAGGCCTAATTGTAACATGTCCGTGCAAAAGGAAAATGTGGACCAATGTTCTATTGCTGGAAGTATTTCTACAGAGAAAATAAAAAGTCATGTCAATAGGTTCAGTGAGATCTCATCTTCCAGAAAGGCTGCAATTCTACATCTGCAGAGGCTGAGTTGGAAGACATAACAATGGTAGTTTTTTATAATATCAATTAAATGCTTTTCTCACAATGTTTTCAAACTGAACATTTAATGGGAATATTTCCAATTCATGCATATTTTGCAATTGATGGAAAACCAGAAATCAGTTTAATAATATATTTGCTATACTAGTCTATTTGTATAAGAATTGCCTAGACTGGTCTAATTAAATTTTATGTATTGATAAGATAAAAAATGGGGATTTATTCCTTCATCACAAAACCCCAATGTATACTTCATAGTATACTGCACTTTATATAGTCCGCTAGACTATAGTATATAGCATGCTATAAGACATAAAAATCTCTATTGTAAAGGTGCAGAGCTAAGACTTTCTCATCCTGTGATGTATGCTAGAACTAAGTCTGTGAACTGGGAGGTCTGGTGGTGAGTCAAACAAACTGCCTTTGTACAAGCCAGTTCAGGAATAGCAAAAATGTGCCCATAATGACCTTTATATCTGTTCTGATGTGGAGGAAAATATTTATTAGTCAAACTGTATGTGATAGTACAGGGAAAAGGAAAAAAAATGTACTTGTATTTTGCCCAATATCAATGAAAAGCCAGTGTCAGAAATCTATTCATTCAGATACTTCTCATGAAGAACAATATTGAAATGTTTACAGAGATATTTGCTGTCTTGGTTTGCTGCACAGATCCTGAGGTTTGTGTGCAGCTATAGGAGACCTCTTTGAAAATATGTTCTTAAACACATTTATTTTTATACACAGCTTTTTTGAATTGTAAAGTGTCTGTTCTTCAGGAACAATAACTTATCAGGAGAATAATTGTGGCACAACTTTGTGCCACACTACTTGTTAGAATGTGACTCTTAAAACCTTACTCTATGTCTATCCTGTCACTAACAATAGAATTCTATTTTTTTTTTTTTAATATGCAGGGAGAAAGTATAAAATAAAATATAATTTTAACTATTACATTACCTTAGCAACCTCCTTATCAGTTTATATGATATACAGATTGAAATACAAAGCATTTACTGCATTCTGCAGGCACAGTAAGGAGACCAGAGAAGGTCCAGAAACAGGAATCTCCTATAAGGATACTCCCCTTGGGTTCCATCTATTTTTAGCATATAGAACAAAGCTGAAGATATCTTGCATTACGACAAACCTGTGCTTCAAGAATTTGTGTCTTTAGCATTTTAGCTAAAGAACACCACTGGATGCTGCCTGGAATTTTTCGCTACATATACCAGTCAATGGGTAGCAAACCAGGTACTCAAAAAACTGTGGTTGTAACTGATTTCACAAGAGACTAAATGACAATTCTAATAAATTCAGGTGTGTCTTAGTAATGTCCAGAGCGCATGATGATGTGAGCTTTAGAATAGATTTTGTTTAACTTAAAATGATCAACAGAGACATCCTCCAATGGCATGTACATTAGGGTTGTTTAGGACATTGTGGTAACAAAGTCTCAGGGGGTAAATAATGAGCTTGAAACACACATGAATCTGTTAGTGCTACTTCAAACAAGTATATTTACTACTTATCTTTGCTGAAGCAATTTCAAAACTGAATATGACAATACGAAACTCCACAGAATAGAAATGAGCAGATATCATTTAGTTCTAGCTCCAACCACTTTTTTCTAAAATGTGGTACAAAGCCATATCTGAGAATTGCCTGTCAAAAAAGTCACGTTTCAAAAATGTTTTGGAGTGACCTAATATTTGCTTTTTTTCAGTAGCTTAATAAAGCTATGTCTGGCAGGGAGTTTTTGTAAATAAAACACTGCTGGAGTGTTTCAATGACTAACTTTTCCATCTCTGGATGTGTTGGAGGGGACTTTCAGCAACCTGGTCTAGTGAGAGATGTACCTGGCCATGGCAGGGGATTTGGAACTCAATGATATTTAAAGGTTCTTCCAACCCAAACTGATATGGTTCTATGATTCCATGTTCTATAAACTTGAGTTCACTAAAAGGAAAGGGAAAATCTAAACATTCTCTGACAGAGTGTTTGTTCTTTAATTTGGTGAATCTATTAATCGAACCACTTTAATTTAGTGTGAAACATACACAAGAACTGATGCATTGACAATGAAAGAGATAAAAGTATTCTGAAACAATGGCTGATGAAGAATGCGCCAATGATACACCAGAAAAGGACCTAAACAGTAAACTGCTTATAACATCATTCTCAGTTCTAAAAGCCTGGTTTATTTTAATTTAATTTCACAACAGTATGTTCATAACACTGTATTTCTATTTATTTATTGATATGATTTTTATCTATTAAGAAACTTAAAAGATAGAAAGTTTGATGGTTCCTTTAAAAGGGAAGGATGTACATTTAAATGAATCCTTACTTGTTAAAACTAAATTTAAGTCTCGCTTGAACATACTTCAAACCCTTCTGGTTAGCAATACATTAAAATAAATAAACTGACAGTTTTATAAAACATG